AAAAAAAAAAAAAAAAAAAAAAAAAAAAAAAAAAACCTCGTTAAACAAGAAAACTACAACTCCATGTTTTGAAAAAGACAGAAGTACACCATTGCACATGCATGTGGCAATAATTCATCACGGGCCCTTCATTATGGTCGTCTTCTATTTCTGTGTTTCAAAAATTGTTTGTTGATTGTTTGATTGATTGATTGATTGATTGATTGATTGATTGATTGATTGATTGATTGATCGATCGATTGATCGATTGATCGATTGATCGATTGATCGATTGATTGATTGATTGATTGATTCATCCCTTGCTTCGATTAAGCGATCAATCAGTCTGTCACAAAGCTACACACACACACACACGCACACACATGATTGTCGTTTGAAGCGCATGCATGAACCTGCAAAAGTTGCGTGAAACAAGAAGCATACATTACCGATGAACGACAAACGAAACTCCAAAGAAAATGTCCGGCAAACAAAACAACCACAGCTCCATGTTTTGAAAATAGAGAGATGTACAGGATTGCACATGCATGTCGCAACACTTCATCACCCGTGCTTCGTTATTGTCGTTTTGTATTTCTGTTTTTGATAACTATTCATTGATTGGTGGATTGATTGATTGATTGATTGATTGATTGATTGATTGATCGATCGATAGACCGACTGATCGAATGATTGATTGATTGATCCATTGATTGCTGGGGTTAGGGTCGCCCTTGGTTCGTAGGGCAAAATGGATCACTCGATCAAGCAATCAATCACGCATGCCAGTCAAGCGATCGGCGGAGCATTGCAACTGATATATGAATCGATCAATCGACCACAAAGGTACATGCGCACACACACACATATGATCATCGTTTCCGCACATACATCAATGAAAAAGACAAAAGCAAGGAGCGTGAAAAAAAAAAAAAAACCATGAACAGTGTGAAAGGAAGAAAGAAAAGGAAACAACCAAAAATAGGAAATGAATAAAACTCCCGCCATCCAAATGTTGAGGGCATACACATGGAGCACTGCAAATGAGACCTCATGCCTATCGACTTCCATCTTTGCCCAGTTTCTATGTACGACGTTGGCGATGGCAAAGCGACACGGCGACCAGCACTACCTCTCTTTGCCACTCTCTCTCTATTTTTCTCTCTCTCTCTCTCTCTCTCTCTCTCTCTCTCTCTCTCTCTCTCTCTCTCTCTCTCTCTCTCTCTCTCTCTCTCTCTCTC